TTCATTGGTTAAATAAAAAAAAAAAAACTGCCTTGGCCCTTTAATAGAACAGAAAATTAGGTAGGTGGAGTAAACAGAACAGAATGCTGGGAGAAAGAAGCCAAGTTGGGCAGTCGCCATGATTCTCCCACTCCAGACAGACGCAGGTTAAGATCTTCCCTGGAAAGCCACCTTGTGGGCTACACAGATTATTAGAAATGGGTTAGATCAATATGTAAGAGCTAGCCAATTAGAGGCTGGAACTAATGGGCCAGGCAGTGTTTAAAAGAATACAGTTTCCATGTAATTATTTCAGGCAAAGCTAGCCGAGTGGCTGGACACAGCCCCGCCGCTCCTATTTTCAACAGAGTGGCACCCAACGTGGCCAATTAAATGCACTTAAAAACCTGAGAGGGCTTAAAAATAGAGAGTTTACCACAGCTTTTTGCTGTTTGCTAGGGCATGCTGCAAAGAAATTTCCCTGACTCAGCAGCCTTAGCAGGAAAAAAGCTGCACGGGTTTAAAACGCAGCTTCCTGGGCTGTACCACCAGTGCAAACTCTGGCTTTAAATTATTTCAATGGCTTATGGAACTAGATGTTTGTGTTCCCGCTCAGGATCTGGAGGAAAGTAGCTGAGACCATGTCCTTGGCTCAGCATTTCCTGCCTGGGCAGGTGGCAGAATCAGACTTGAGCAGGCGGGAGAGCCTGGCGGATTCCCGCTGCCATTCACAGAGATGTTTTCAGACTGTGCAGTGCTCTGCGTGTCAGATTTGGATGTAACTTGGATGAAAAGAATTTCTGTGCTGCACGCTCAGTCTCGGAGTTAAAGTGCTGAGTTCAACTCCTACCTGGTGGCCCCAGAGCTAGCACAAAATGGTACGTCCTCCATTTTGAAATTTTCCTGACTCAGCAGCAGGACAAAAACTGGCTGTTTTAAAATGCCGGCTTTCTGGTCTGTGCCACCATTGCGATCTCTGCCTGGCTCCTGCGGGAGACAGAGCTTTTGAATGGAGCATTTGGAGTAAAGTGCTATGGCTTGCTTGATGGCAATGTGGACTGCTGTGTGCCTGGAACTGTGATAGAGAGGGTAATTTGGGGGTTAGTAAGAAACCTGGTGCCAAGGAGGCTCCCAGGAACCCACAAGGATGACTCCAGCTAAAACTCCAAGCAATAGCAGAGGGGGTTCCTGAACTCACCTTCCCCTGTAATCAGATAGGTGATTTCCCTAGTTATCATTATAGAGTCTTCATCCAGTACCTGATGGAATCAGATGCAAAGATTCAAGGCAATCACTGGGCTGAGCTCTAGGAGTCCAGGTGAAGATAGGGTGGAGGTATTATATGAGCAAGGGGGGGGAGAGTCAAGATCATGATGGGAAACTCACAGAGACAGCTGACCTGAGTTTGTGGGAGCTCATGGACTTTGGTGGAATAGCTAGAGAGTCAGTATAGGAGCAGCCTAGATCCTCTGCATCTGGGTGACAACTGGGTAGTTGAGACTTTTGTGGGGACCCTAGCAGTGGGACCAGGTGCTGTTCCTGATTCATGAGCTGGCACTTTGGAACCTATTCCCTATAGCAGGATGACTTGTTCAGCCTTGATGCAGAGGGGAGGAGCTTGGTTCCAACTCAGCTTCATCTGCCATGCTTTGTTGATTCCCATAAGAGGCCTTATCCTGTCTCAGTAGAGACAGGAGACATAGGATGAGAGTGGATGGGAGTATAGGGGAAATGTGGGGGGAGGAAAAAAAGGTAGGAAAACAGTGATTTGTTGTACTAATAGGGGTGGCAGGGCTGCGTCCCCAGCACCCCAGCCACCTGCTAGCTCATGCCCTGAAATAACAACACACAAACTGTATTCATTTAAACACTGCTTGGCCCTTTAGCTCTAGCTCTTACAGGCTAATTCTCACATCCCGATCAACCCATCTCCAATAATCTGTGAGCACCGGTCTTACCGGGAAAGGTTCAGCATGTCTAACCTGGTGGCTTGCTTCATCGCATGCGTCTGCCCGGGAGAGCAGAGCATGGTGTCTCTCTGAGGCGTCTGCTCCCGAGAGGAGAGCTGTGGAGTCTGAGCTCACTTCCTCTTCCTCCCAGCCTTCTGTTCTGTTTACTCTTCCCACCTATCTTCTAACCAATAAAATGGGCCAAGGCAGTTCCTCTATTAGCCAATGACCTTTCTCCATCAATTTGTATCTAAAATATATAAATAAATGATGAAGGAAGAAAAAGAAATAAATAAAAAACTTAAATTCTGGCTCCAAACTTTGTTACAAATGTATATCATCACGGCCTTGAAGATCAAGACATTAGAGATAATCACTGAAAATTTGCCTGGGAGGCTAAAGTTTGATCTAACATATTTAACCATGTCATGTGTGATTGTATGTTACATCTCTAAAGCTCTGAGGCATTCATTCTATCAATTGTACTCTAATCATAATGAAAATGTAGTGACTTTAATAGATACAAAATGCAGAAAATCATGGGAAAAAGGGCAATAGCAGTTCAGCAAATCATATATATGGTTATTATGTACATTATTTATGCATACATGTGTGTACTATGTCCTACATGCAACAATTCAAATATAGTCTAAATAATATCTATAATATATAATGTATATATAAACCATTAATATATAAAAGTTTATATATAACTAAAATTATTGTATATATGTAATATATATAGAATTTCCTTAGCTCTCTATGTGCTAATATATAAATGTACATTTATATTTACTATATATTACATCATATCATGCATTATATATAATTTTTGTTCTAAAATATTATATGTGTATGTAAATGTATATGCACACACACACATACCTGTCTTAGACATGTGCTTTTTTATTTCTCTTGATTATTTTACTGAATCAATATTAGGACCCAGTAAATAAAATTTTAATGACATAATCCTGTTACCTTTTAAAAATTTATTTATTTTCTTAGTTTATGTGTAGTTGGGTTTTGTCTGCATGTTTGTCAGTACACAGTACATGTGACTGGTAGACAAAAGCTAGATATGAGTTGGCATACGTGTTACAGGTGACTCTGAGCTCTCATGTTGGACCCAGAAATTTAACTTGGCTTCTCAGCAAGAGCAGCCAGTATTCTTAACCCCTGAGCTGTCTCTTCAACCTTCTTCCCACTCTTTTATGTATGTGTATGTGTCTTTGAGATTTAATGAAGTTATATGCAGGTTAGGTCTTGTGCCTTCGTAGGCCAGGGTGTCTTAAGCTAGAATTCTAGATACTGGCAGACAATACTGGGTCTTATGGAAATATAGGATATGCAATTAACCACTGAGCCATCTTTATTTCCACAGAAATTCATTGTTACAACTAATCACAAATTATTTTCTGTGGATATGTTTGATGTGTGTGTGTGTGTGTGTGTGTGTGTGTTTGTGTGTGTGTGTGTGTGTGTGTGTGTAATATTGATTGTGATTGGGTAACAAAACTTATCAAAACACTTGCACTAGAATGAACCAAATATCCAGACATATTAAATTATATAATAAAAACCTATGCACATGGATGGAGTTTAAATGATAAGGCAATTTTAAATTCCTAACAATTAGTTGCCTCATTTTATAAAAGGCTTGAATATTATGTTTAATAATATTTCTTTATTTATATAGATAATAACCACTAGCTACGATAACTAAAATGCATAGAAAAATCATGTCTGGAATATTCCCCTCTCAGATCCACAGGTTAAGGACTTTAAATTTATTAGCTTGACTGTATATCATCTAGATAAATATGCATATCAATGCTACAATGACATAACATATCACTACAGTAAATATGGATATAATAGTAAAAAACACACCAAAACTAAAGAAAACGTTAATATTTATACAACTACAGCAACCATCTCTGGCCAGCTTTCATGAAAATATCAGCATTTCTGAGGAAACAATATAGACTTGTGGTAAATACATACACATCTATTGTTATCAAATAAAATTTCAGTAAATAACTATAAATATACAACTACTTTTCAATAAATGACTTTACATATTTGTGAATATTTTCAGTGCTATTTCTGATGTATTTTAAAACAAAGTGTGAGCAGAAGTGATTATTCAGTGACTAAGAACATACAATGGGCTTACATTGCGCCATTAAGTTTGGTTCCCAGCACCTACAGTGGTTGTCTCAAGGTTGTATACTCAAGCTTCAGGGGAATTTATGCCATCTATTGGTCTCAAGAAAGAAAGACACACACACACACACACACCAGAGAGAGAGAGAGAGAGAGAGAGAGAGAGCCTACACACATCTAAATAAAATTAAAACAAAAATCTGTTTAAAAGAAGGAGGCACAATGTAAGGGAAACTGGTATTGACATGTAAAAAATTAATAATAATATAATAAATAATACCAAATATATTTTAAGTATACTAATTCTAAATATGGCAAGAGTTATTTTTAAGATTTTTATTGCACATTTGTGTCGAGCAAAATGTCCAGTGTAAAAATAACCGTTAAAGAATTACATGAAGCTTTCCTCTCATTTTCATTACTGGTTATTGAATAGCTCTAAATATTTGCTTTCAAATTATTATATAAACTTCCTTGATGAGTTGCTTTAGATCATCTGAAAAGTCCTGTATTTTCAATATACAACTTGAGTTAAACATTTTCCTAGGCAGCATTATGCTAGCATACACAAACATGGAAATATACAAGAAGTAATTGTTCTTAAAATATCTGAATAAAATATGGGAAAATGGCCTGAGATTCATTTTCTAACAATATTTAAAGTTTGGAGGTTATTGTAATGCATAGTTTGTGAATTGGAATATTGGAATGATTTATATAGGGAATCTGAACAACAAGATTACTGATTGTTGTAACAGACTATGGGACCTTAATAAAAATACCCCATCTTTCTAGAACTACATTTTCTTTTTTAATATTTATTCATTTATTTATTTATTTATTAAAGATTTCTGCCTCCTCCCCGCCACCGCCTCCCATTTCCCTCCCCCACCCCCATCAAGTCTACATTTTCAATGACCAATGAGAGCTCATTAGTTTCTTCACTGCCTCCTTCACATCCTTGTTCCTGAAGCTGTATATCAATGGGTTCAGCATGGGAATGATGACTGTGTAGAACACTGAGGCCACCTTGACCAGCAGCCAGGAACTTTTGTTGGTGGGAACACAATAGAGAAAGAGGATGGTGCCATGAAAAATGCTGATGGCGGTCAGGTGGGAGGCACAAGTGGAGAAGACTTTGTAGCGTCCCCCAGTAGCAGGCATTTTCATGACAGTAATAACAATGAAAAAGTAAGAGGTGAGAATGATCATCAGACTGCTTAGCTCATTGAAAGTGGCAAAAATGAAAATGATCTTCTGACTAATGGAGGGGTCAGAGCAGGATACCGCAACGATGGCAGCATGCTCACACACAAAGTTATTTATGAACTTGGTCCCACAGAAGAACAGAGTTAAAGTATATGAATATAAAGGAGCAGAATATAGCCCACGAGTACGATGCAGCTACCAGGGAGCAACAGAGCTTCGGAGACATAGCCACTGTGTAGAGTAGGGGGTTGCACACTGCCACAAACCTGTCATAGGCCATCACTGCCAACATGAATGTTTCTGTCACCACAAATATGCATGCGAAGAAGAACTGCATGACACAGCCTGTGAAGGAGATTCTTCTGTCTTCCACAACCAAGTTTTCTAAGAGTTTGGGTGTCACAACAGTGGAGTAACAGAAATCCACAAAGGACAGGTGACTGAGAAAAAAGTACATGGGGGTGTGAAACTTGGCGTTCAGCCTGATGATGGTAATCATGCCCAGGTTTCCCAGAACAGTGACTGAGTATATGGTCAGGAAGAGGAGGAACAGGGGGACCTGCAGGTCCGGGTATTCAGAGAAGCCCACGAGGATTAAAGTCACTGCAGAAGTCTGGTTTTCAGGAAAACTATAGAGAAAAGAGGAAAGGATTATCTGTTAAATTCAGAACTAATATTTGTAATAGAGAAAAATTAGAAAAATATAATACACAGTTTAACAGGCACTATAGAATATGCCTGAAAATAAAAGAACTTCATTTCTAATATTAATGCCTATTTACAAAACATGTATCCCATAAACCCATATTATTTTATGATTTAACTTAAAGTAAATTTCTTGATGAAAGGAGAAAGATTGTGGCTAGATATATTTAAATAAAATGATTCAATACTATCACACATAGCCTCCTGAAAACATCTGTTCTAACCACATACATTAATTGAACTAAAGGTAAGGTGGGAAATTTGCTGGAGGAACCATACATCAAAAATTTCAAAACTTTTCATGTCTTTAATGGTTACTATTATTTACCACATAGATAATATTATATGCTTTGGTTTCCAGTATTTGGGAGTTAAAGCAGAAATGTAATACTATGGTATATTTTATGATACTGCTTCACAAACAAAAAGAAAAAATTAAAAAACTTATCTTTTTAATTTTATGTTAACTTCGGTGTTATATTGGTCATTTTAAATTTTGCTCTGAAATGCTATATTTTAAATTTTGAAACAAATTATTGGAGACATTATGGATATATACTGTGGTGATATAAAACATTTAAATTATTGATTAATTTGAATTAATCGTATTGTGTGTACAACAAAATACAGACTTTGCCTGCCATGATATAATAGTTAAAAAAAGCAGTGAATATATAGCTGCTCTTTTTCTGAGTTTTGGTATTTTTCAGAAGATAGGAAATACAGACACAATAGCCACTGTGATACACTAGAAATACAAACATATTTTAAGCCATTGAAGAAAATATTTTCTGGAATTTTAAAGAAATGCCAAAAATAAGTATTAGAACAGAGATCTAATATCCTTGTTTTTATACTTTTAGTGGAATCCTAATTAGTGGATTTACTAATATGAAATGAGGTTTATGATGACATATAGTTTATAAAATACACTGTGATAGATAGCAGATACAAATCACTAGTTCATCAGGCTTTGAGACATTAGTTTTTTTGTTTTATTTTTTAATGAACTATAAATGTCTCATAATCAGGCCCACATGTGGACAGCTGTCTGTAGTGTTCACTGCTGGGGATTGAATAATCACAGTCTCTCTCCCTGAAACTGCAAAACTGATATGCAGAACCTCATCTGGGAACCTAGTCAAGGAATTCTTGAAGGATGTCTTCCTATCCTCTTGTTGCCTGTCTTTTTCCTTTCTCTGCTTCCTCTGGGCTTCTTCTTGTAGTAGCAGTATCTGTCAAAAAAACATATCAACCAATTGCTAGACAACACTCAACCATTTTAAGTACAACACGTCTGGATTCTGATCATACTATTACCAATATCTATAATTTTAAAATCATCTTTGTAACACTATGAAGATAATTTACCTCACCACTCAAACCGGATTGTGGTGATTTTATTGATTTACATATTTTATTAAGGAAACATAAAATCTACATTCTCCTGACATCTAACATTATCCAGCTAAACATTTTCAATCTCAGTACTAACAACACAGATTCTATAACCCTATGGTTTTATCTACCTGATATATTGTACATATTCATCACAAATGTTAGCTCTTCCATGGCATTCTCAATACTATGATACATTACTGTACCGTGGTATATGGCAAACTACCTCTTGTTCTCTGTATGGAAGCAGGCAATAAGGTTTTTAGCTGTCAATTACAAAACCTTTATTCTATTTTTTCCTTTTTACTTTTTTTTTTGATATAAGGTCTCATAAAATTCAGGCTGATCTTAAACTCCTTTCATGTCCAAAGCTAACGTCACACTCACAATTTAGTCCAGAGGGGTCTTGAAATGTTGAGGGTGGCCTCTCATTCTGATCCTTTCTTGTACCTTCTGTGTTCTGGAATCCTAGGCCTGAGGCACCATTTACTGCTTGATTACTCTTTTATTATATAATTTTTTCAGGTGGGAGTGTTACTCTCTCTTAATTTCTCAGAGATTATAATAATTTGAAGTTGCATTTAATAATTAACTAATATTTAAATGTTGATTTATTAGTTCATAACAGACACAAAAGTAGAAAACTAAAAAAAATCAGAATATAGGTATCATATTCTTAGTGGCAGTTTCATTACTTCATTTGAGGGTGTTAAGGTCTGTTCTTTCCTCCTGAAATATGGCAGTCAGTATTCTCTCATTGGAAGGCAACAGCAGGAGAGAATCAACTTACCTAGACATGTGGGCCTCTGAGTAATACATTTACTGAAAATTTCTTTGCTAAGAGTTGTGAAGTTCTAAAAAGTTCTTGTTTAGTAGTTAATATGAAAATATAGCCATGGAAATGGAGTCCACTGGATATATCATCAATCATGACATATGATGTTAGGCTACACTATCAGGAAAATTCAGAAATACCAGATTAAACATTGCCTCTAAGAATTAAATATGGGTACCAAATCATGTCACAAATATGTCATCATCAGGGACCTGAAATCTAGGGAGTGTAATAAAATAATTCCAGGGAGGCTACAGGTGGAGCAATTAGGAACAAAATGTCTCATGTGATATCTTGATTGTATATTACATTTCTAAAGCCCTGAGGCATTTTCATAATCAACTTTAACAGTCATAGCAAATACATAATGCCTCTCTAGGTTGTAAATGTAGAAATACACAAGAAAAATAAGTAATTTAATGATAGCTCAGAAAGATGTTATTAAGTAAAGCCTTAGAAAATATGTTATTATATTTCTAATTATCAATTTGCTCCAAAATTAAATTCTATTGTCATTTTCTTTTTTTATTTATAAATATTAGGCCAAATACATTTTCTGTTTGTGTGACAATTTATGTTAATGTATAAAGGGCACTAAATACAAACGCAAATATAAAATATAAACATAAGGACTACCAGTGTCTTAGTAATGAAATCTAAATTCTTATTAGTGTGTATTGCACAAACAGGGCAGTGATCCTCTTCCATTGATATAAGGATCCTCTTTCATTCACTTGTGGGATTTTCATCATAATGAACCACAATTTATGGTTTCTTTGTCATGAATGTTTATAAAATAAAGATTTACAACTGTACTTTCTTTAATGGTGGCAAATGAACTTACCAAAATAAATATCAAATTTATTGCTTCAATTTTTGAATACTTTTAAAGCAATTGTTAAATATATTGAAAAGTTTAGATTTATTGAAAAGGAGTCAACATAGTCTTTAAAAAAATGCTCTTTGGGCTGACGAGGGAGGGGGGCTTAATTGGGGGAGGAGGAGGGAAATGGGAGGCGGTGGCGGGGAAGAGACAGAAATCTTTAATAAATAAATTAATTAATTAATTAAAAAAATTCTCATAGATTTGAGGTTATAACATAATTACATCAGTTCTCTCATCTCTCTCGTTACTTCAAACTCCCTCATATACCTTCTTACTCTCTTTCAAATTCATGACCTCTTTTTTCATTAGTTGTTCCTAGGTGGATATAATCCCACTATTCCTAATTTCAGGGTAATTAGTATAATATATTTTATTGTTGTGAAGTTCAGTGCTCAGCCCATTTTTATTTTCTTTTTTCTATTGTTTTTTCACTTTATTTAAAAATTTCTACTTTAATAGAAATTATTTTTATTTCTATTTTTAATATAATATAATATATTATAATATAATATAATATATAATATAACTGAATCTTGGGAAAGATTTAGTAAGAGTCAAAAATAAGTTTATATTTTAACTTTGACATACATATATAAGCAAGTATTTAATTTGCAAATGTATTGATTTCATTTATTGTTCTGTAGCTGAGAAAATGAATACATAAGGCATATGGGAGCATTACAGGATCAAATAGCGTGCAAAGATTCAAGCTGCACAAAAGAGACACCAAACCTAAGAGCAAGAATACTCACTTGTTATCTTTGTCACAGTCATCAAGATTACTACTAAAGGAGCACTCCAAAAAGCATTCTCCATCTGTGCCCCCACCTGACTGCTATCTCCTTCTGCTATGGTTTCATTCTCCTTCTCCTTCTCTCCTTCTTTTTCTTTTACTTTTCCTTTGTTTTTTTTTTTTTTTTTTTTTTTTTTTTTTGAGACAAGGTTTCTCTGTAGCTTTAGTGCCTGTACCGGGACTAGCTCTTGTAGTCCAGGTTGGCCTCAAACTCCCAGAGATCCGCCTGCCTCTGCCTCCACGTCCCAAGGGCTGGGATTAAAGGCGTGTGCCACCACCAACCAACCATTCTCCTTCTTTACTGTGTGCTCAAGTCTAGAGCCTAGGCAGTTTGGATGCTCACCTTACTAGACCTAGATGGAGATGGGTGGTCCTTGGACTTCCCACAGGGCAGGGAACCCTGATTGCTCTTTGGGCTGATGACGGAGGGGGTCTTGATCAGGGGAGGGGGAGGGAAATGGGAGGAGGTGGCGGGAGGAGGCAGAAATCTTTAATAAATAAATAAATAAATAAAATAAAATCTCATTGGTCTTGGTTATGACAGTCACTGTGTTTTACAGCATGATCACCCCTATGCTCAATCCTCTTATTTACAGCCTAAGAAATAAGGATGTGAAGGACACCGTCAAAAAATTTTGATTCATATGAAACTGGCATCTCACTCAGTATAGACACACATGCATGCCATACACGAAAGCACATAGCAGAACACTCAGGAAGATAATGGTACTTAATAGGCTCAGCCATCTCAAGGAGTTTTCCAAGGCCCTTTCCAAGGTTGCATAACTCAGACAAATTTCTGGAACAGACAAAACTCTTCAGGGGGAGCTGCCTACTAGTTCATCAGACAGCACCAAGAAAATAGCTTTTTGTGAACTGTCATCAGTTCTCATGTGAGACTTTTGGTTATGATTTCAAAGCACCTATTCTCCACACCTCTTTCCTTTAAGTAAGGACAGAAAATTCATTGGCTCACCAATGTAGACATGAGTCAAGTTTTTTCTTTATAATTTCTACTGTCAAGGATAAATCTGGGGTGAATAAACTCTATTGACCTTGTCCCAGGAAAATTTACTTAGCATCTATATATTTTAAAAAAATCCATGATGCCTTAAATAATATCATATATTAAAAACAAATCCCAACACTAAAAATCTATCATGAGTTTATGCCATAAAGACCTCAGGAACTTGAAATTAAAGATGATTACTAAATTCAAATCTTTTATTAGACTATTAAATATTACATGTGATTTTTGGCTGTATATAATTATTGCAAAATTTTAAAGCCTTTTTATTAGTATCTCTGTTTAATTGATAATGAACATATCATATTTTCAAGAATGTGTAATATATAGATATTCAATAGGATAATCAAGTTTAAGACAAAAAATCATATATGGTTCAGTGGACTTCTAATGTGGTTAGATATTAAGGTTTATCTGCACATCCTTAAAATCACTTCTTTATATTAAATACTATAGAGAATGACTAAATAGGAAAAAAGAAAATACAAAGGGACAATGATAATATTGATTTTTAAATCATAAACATAATTGACAAATCTTTAAAAAAAAACTAAAAAAGAGAGGGAACAAGATTAAAAACAGTTAGAAATAAAATCAAAATATTGCAGCATTTGTGGATGAAATTCAGAGATTTCTTAGGGAATAACTGGAAACCTATGTTTAAATAGAATAAAATAACAGAGATATTTCTTAATGCTTATAAACTTCCAAATGTAAAACAAGATGAACTCAGGTTCAATATGAGAGGATTTGCCTTGTCTTATTCTAACTAATTTTGTACTCTTTTCCTGTAGCTCTCTTGGAGATCTGCTCTTTTCTGAAGAATAAAGGAGGAGAAGTAGATACAGGGGAGAAGAAAGGTTGTGGGAAAAGCTGGGAGGAGTGGGTGGAGTAGAAAGTGAGGTCAGGATGTTTGGTATTAGAGAAGAATCCATTTTCAATAAAATTGAAATAATCCAACTGCTAGCAGATGGAGGACAATGTGGCTGTAAACACACATAAGCCCTGACACTGATGGGAAAAGACTCAAATACCTCTATTTCCAAATGGCATGATCCTACATATAAGAGACCATTAAGATTCTTCCATTTCCCCTTCCCAGGGAGTTTCGAATGTCTCCCTTTGTGTTCCCGTCTTGTTACCTAGCCTTTTTGGGTCTGTGGATTGTAACATGAATATCCTTCACTTCAGCAATAATATTCATATATAAGTGAGTACATACCATATTTGAGTTACCTCACTCAGGATGATTTTTTTTTTTAGTTCTATCTATTTGCCTTCAGATTTCATGATTTCATTGTTTTTGACAGCTGAGTAATACTCTATTGTGTAAATGTACCATATTTTCTTTATCCATTCCTTGGTTAAGGGACATCTAGATTTTTCCAGTTTCTGGCTATTTTCAATAAAACTGCTATGAACACAATTGAGTAAGTGTCCTTGTGGTATCATTGAACATCCTTTAGGTATATGTCCAAGAGTTGTATAACTATGCCTTGAGGTAAATAGACTCCTAATTTTCTGAGAAACTGCCATATTGATTTCCAAAATGGCTGTGCAAGTTTGCAATAGAGGAGTATTCCCTTTGCTCTACATTTTCTCCAGCTTGAGTTGTCAATTGTGTTTCTAATCTTATCCATTCTGTCTCATGTAAGGTAGAATCCCAGAGTCATTTTGATTTGCATTGCCCTGATGGCTTTTGTAGCTGGACTGGGGGTTGCTTGGGATGAAAACAAGAGGTATCAGGTGGGGGAGTGGTGGTGAGAGTACTGCAAGAACTGACTGGAAAGAGGTTCATTTGGGGTTAGGTTGAAACCTAGTGCAAGGGAAACTGGCAGGAATCTGTAAGGATGACTCCAGCTAAGACTCCTAGCAATTGCAGACATGTAGCCTAAACTGGCCATCTCCTGTGACTTGGCAAAACTTGCAGTAGAGGGATTGGGACACAAACCCAACCATATAACTTTCATCCTAAACTCTGCTGTGCCTGTGGGATATGCTTGAGTAAGGGTGGCACAGTGATCACACGGGCAGCCAATCAATGATTGATTGATCCTAGCCTGAGACCCATGCCAAGAAATTCAGCGTACCCTTGACACTGCCCAGAGGGCCAATATCCAGAGGCTTGATAGCCCAGAGACCTCGGAGAGAACCAAACATTAACTGAAATTAAAAAAATAAATAAATAAATCAATGCAATGATACCTAACAATGTTCTGCTGTACTCATAGATCGGTGCCTAGCCCAATAGTCACCA